ATATCGGCTAGAGTAATACTATCAAGATTATAATTGGATTCAACCAGATATCGGCTAGAGTAATACTATCAAGATTATAATTGGATTCAACCAGATATCGGCTAGAGTAACACTATCAAGGTTATAATTGGATTCAACCAGATATCGGCTAGAGTAACACTATCAAGGTTATAATTGGATTCAACCAAATATCGGCTAGAGTAATACTAGCAGGGTTATAATTGGATTCAACCAGATATCGGTTAGAGAAACACTATCGAGGTTATAATTGGATTCAACCAGATATCGGCTAGAGTAATACTATCAAGATTATAATTGGATTCAACCAGATATCGGCTAGAGTAACACTATCAAGGTTATAATTGGATTCAACCAGATATCGGCTAGAGTAATACTAGCAGGGTTATAATTGGATTCAACCAGATATCGGTTAGAGAAACACTATCGAGGTTATAATTGGATTCAACCAGATATCGGCTAGAGTAATACTATCAAGATTATAATTGGATTCAACCAGACATTGGTTAGAGTAACACTATCAAGGTTATAATTGGATTCAACCAGATATCGGTTAGAGAAACACTATCGAGGTTATAATTGGATTCAACCAGACATTGGTTAGAGTAACACTATCAAGGTTATAATTGGATTCAACCAGATATCGGCTAGAGTAATACTAGCAGGGTTATAATTGGATTCAACCAGACATTGGTTAGAGTAACACTATCAAGGTTATAATTGGATTCAACCAGATATCGGCTAGAGTAATACTAGCAGGGTTATAATTGGATTCAATCATACAAATGGTTGGTAGGACTATGAGTTTGATATTCTTACCCTTTACAATTTCCTGCCATTGTTAAAATTACTGTTGAGAACACCACAACTGAATTTATTAAAGTAGTTTATCAATATTACGAACTTAAACTAATTCTAATATAAGCATGTTTCTTAGGAAAACTTCACGTATAATTTGATATTTAGGTATATTGGGTGAATGTAGTTTAACTGAAAGAATTACACAAATATGACTGTACTTTCTTACTTGTAGTAAAATTAGAAGCTACAAACACCGAAGACTCTTTTTCCTTGAATAAAGAATATAACTGAATCTCATAAGTGGCTCCAGGAGTGAGGTCTCGAAGATTGAAAGGTGCTGGTTCATCAGTAAGCTCAATCTTCCGCACTACTGCGTCATCCTTGTCCGAAAGTGGAATTATATTTAACTTGTAGCCTGTATGGCCACCTTGGCTTGGAGGATCCCATGACAAGTTTACAACTTTTCCCGTGGCTACTTCTGTGGCTAGATTTACAGGTGGGTCTGGTTCTACAGGTAAAATATATATCATTTAAAACACATGCCAACTTACTGGAATCATTAAATCACAATTATGAAGCAGATAATCAAATACTAGATGTATTATAGCAATGAAGATGGATGTTGTGACACATAAAAGTAGATATATTATACAAAGAGATACATTATGACACACAACGCTATATTATAATTTTGAAGATGTATTTTATGACACACAAAACTATATTTATTATAATTAAGATGTATGTTATAACACATAAAAATAGATGTATTGTAATCATGACACTCATCAAAACTCAGAAACTTCAGTGAACATCAAACATTTTTAAAAAGCAGATGAAATTATCAAAATCAGTAATGGTAATCCAGGAATCAAAAACCTTTAAAAGTAGCTGTTATTATGAAATAATTAAGTTATATAAATTATTAAAATCTGTAAAAATATAGTTATTAATATAGTATTTGGAAAAGATGTTCATTTAAACATGATCTGTTACTCATATAAAGTCAAACTCTGTCTGATACACATTTTCAAGATTGGTTTTTTATGTTATGTCTCTTAGCAACAAAAGCATAACTTGATAATGTTGTTAGCCTTTGTACTGAAAGTGTAAAATGAAATGTCTAGACAGCAGAATCAGAAAATATTTGTTAATTTCTTATTTAAGTGTCTGTTGATCAAAAAGATTTGTCTGATATACATTTTAAAAATTATATTTTGACCAATCAGATGTGTTTGTTGTTTAAACTGTAGCTGGCTACAGTTTATGTGATAACTAGTTTTGCCTGACCCAACCAGAATATGATGGGTTGGAGTTTTGTAAAAAAACAACAACAGGGGCCTATGCCCTACCTGCAGTATGGTATTTAAATTGTGCAATAAAAAAGTCTAACATTAGAATAACATTATAAGTTTACTTATTAACAGTAATAAGTGTGGTAGAGTTTAGTCTTAACAAAACTAGAAATACAATCTATAGGTAACAGTGGTAATTTATCTCTTAATCAAATATAGGCTGTACTTAATAATGGCTTAACTAACGTTAGAGCTAAGACCAGTAGACTTATAGTTTTAGGTGTCTGTGATTAGAATTATTTTAAAATGAAAATTCTGATACCTCAGCTTAATACTTGGCATTTGTTTGCTTCCTGTTAACTGGAAATGTAACCAGTCATGACATAGGCACATGAATGTGTATTTAAAGAAGAAATATAGCAATGAAGATACTAATTTCACCGCAAGTATTATGTAGGTCTATTTCTAACAGCACAACTATACTAAGTAACATAAATTACTATAAACAAATCATTTTAGAAAACCTAGCACTACTTAAGTAGAAACAATGCTAAGAATTAGCTACCTTAGTACAAATAATGTGCTAAGGACAAATGTAAAAAAAAAAAAGATATAAAAAGCAAAAAATAAAAAGAATAATGATGCACAATTTCCACTCTCAGTCAAGAACTTCAGGAATTTCTTTTTCTTAATATTCTATATTTTTTGGAAGTTTAAAAGTACATGAAACACTGATAGACAAGGACTAGAAGATTACTTTTCCTGAACTACTATTTCTGCAAGGAAAGTTAGAAAGTGTGATTTTAAATGTTCAGGACCATCAACACAAATTAAGTGATAAATTAAATGAAGCACTTATTTACACAAGGTGAAAACATAACTGAATTAAATTCATTTTATTAGATCAGTTAGGACAGATAGTATATTTAAGATGTCTCTCTCTCTCTCAAACCAATTTCACTTTCTTCACATCTCAACCATTACTTACCTGTTCTGTCACCTATCATAATATTTGAAAAAATAAAAAAATCTATATTAAACTTTAATTTTAAAGCTATCACCTAGGGTAAATGTCATATTCTAAACTGATGATACAGAATAAATATTTGAATAAATAAAATAATGGCCCTATATATGAAAATAACGAATTCACACAAAGTTATAATTTTTTTACACTGAAAATATGTTTCTGACAGGTACTTACCTTCTCTCACATAAATAGCTATTCTCGTTTAGTGCTGCACTCTATATGCAAAAATATTTGTATGCATGCCAGACATCTCCCCCTCCATTGGAATTACCCGATTCCAGTACACCTTTCATGCAAATCATCATGCGTCAATCCTCCACCAGTAAGAATGCAACGTACTCTCATGACACATGTGACTCCATCTATTCAATTCTACCAAACTATCACTTCCAATTTTGGCAGAAGATGGAAGCACCAGTTTTCAGTGGGAAGTGCTATCAGAAATACATTTTTAGTGTAGAAAAATTATAATTTCCGATATGAAGGGAAAGTGGCTAAGTGTAGGAGTTATTCTCATGAGCCGCCGAAGTGTTAGAGGAAAAATGATCCAGAGAAAGGAGAAGATATGTAGAAGGATAAAGAGTATGTGAAATATCAATGGCAAATAAACAGACCACCGATGTCCACAGGCAAATGAGACAAGGAAGGAATACATAAGGAAAGGTGAAACAATGAGCACTGGGAGAGTGGTTCGAACATGGGCAAAGTGAGGCAGTACAGGACCACATTAATATCCCCATCCGGAAGGGCAGTCCACTGTGCAGGGGATGATAAATCTGGAAGGAACACATCCACAAGTGAAGTGTAGGAGAGGTAAATACTTGTGGGATTGGGAGAAACAAAAGGTGTGAAACAGGACCACCCAAAAAATCCTAGACTGAGGACAATGAATACCCCTGATCCAAAAGTCAAGAGAGGAATTCCACATGACAAAGAACAGTGGGTTGATCACGAGAATACTCTTGACCCAGAAACCAATGATGAAAAAATTCCATTTGCATTGAAAAACTTCCATGTAGGAAGGGTAAATGAAACAAGCCAGAAAAGAGGCTAGCCTTCAGGAGAAGCTGGATCATCTCGGCAATGACTAGAGGTGAAGACAGTGGACAGGAAGGTCTGGATGAAACACCAATGACTAAGGGTGGCAAAGAAGGGATGGAGACAGAGGAAAAGGTAACAGAGGAGGAAGTTAGAGCTGCAGAAACCAAGCTGAGATAACCAGGAAAAAGCTACTAGAAGGACTGAACAGAGACTGTGAAGAATGAACAAAATCACCTTGAGAAGGAGGAGAACATGAGAATAGACAAATGTGCAGGTCCAATCCCAGCTGAAAACATCGACAGCTAGAGCAAAAATATAAGGAACTGGAGACCAGAACCAATGCAATTTGTGGGTAAGAGATGTAGCAAAAGCTTCAACATGAGGACTACACCACTGAAGTCAAAGCCACTGTAAAACAAAAGAATCAAGAGATCACTACATTGATTAAATGTTGTCTGGGCAGGAATCTGATCCACGACAAGAGCGAAAGCACCTGGAACATGACATGCAATGATAGGAATATCAAGCATGTGGGGCCCGAAAGAAGATCCAACATATGAATACAGAGGGATGGAGAACAGGTGCCCACCCTGGTGACTGAGATAAGTAATCACTGAAAAATAGTCAGAATGGATCATTACCAGATGACTTCCGGCCAGATGGAGAAAATGAACCAAAACACAACTTACATCGAGAATCTCAAGTACGTTGGTAGGATAAGACCTCTGAGCTGCAGACCATATAGAGGGCACCACTGAATGAGAATAGCTATTTATGTGAGGAGGTAATGTACCGTATCAGAATTGCATTATTTAGACATTTCAATGACATACATATATGACATTTTGTAAATATTTAATAAGCACTCTATACTGCAATTCAAATGTCTTACATTACAGTATTTAAGTGACAGTAATTAAAAACAGGAATGTTCCACTTGTTTGTAAAATGCAAGTCAGTTTTAGACTAACCTTTTATTTGTTGTGTTACCTTCTCTTGGCTGACCTTTCTTAACATGGTTACATTGTTTTTGCTAAAGAACCAAGAGAGAATTATCTATCACACTTTCTTAGTGAATAATGTACTTAACAATAATACGAATAGTTTATGACAGAGATAAACTTACCTGTTGCTACAACAGAGGACCATGCTAGCCAGTTTGTGAGAGATATGTTAGTGTAGTACAAGTGGATATTATATTCTGTACCAGGAAGACATTCAGACAGTTTAATTCCTTTAGATGCTTCACTCGCAAGAAGAGTGAAGTTTGGTAAGGGTGAGCCATGTGGAGGATTGTAATCGAGTCTGAAGACTCCATCGCCAAGAGAGGCTACTTCTCTTGGCAGCTCCAGATCAATCATCACTCCATAGCAGCACTGAAGCTGGAAAAGTATAACCAAGATAAAAGTTATAAACATAAGATGTCAAAATAAAACCAAGTCATAAACTTTAAAGATTATCATTAAAATATTACTTAAAGTATATTCAAGTTGTAAGCTAATACGGCCTACCTTCTAATCCAAACTACTGTGGTAAGGCCTACCTTCTAATCCAAACTACCGCGATACGGCCTACCTTCTAATCCAAACTGTGATACGGCCTACCTTCTAATCCAAACTACCGCGATACGGCCTACCTTCTAATCCAAACTACCGCGATACGGCCTACCTTCTAATCCAAACTACCGTGGTAAGGCCTACCTTCTAATCCAAACTACTGTGGTAAGGCCTACCTTCTAATCCAAACTACTGTGGTAAGGCCTACCTTCTAATCCAAACTACTGTAATAAGGCCAACCTTCTAATCCAAACTACTGTAATAAGGCCAACCTTTTAATACAAACTACTGTAATAAGGCCAACCTTCTAATACAAACTACTGTAATAAGGCCAACCTTCTAATACAAACTACTGTAATAAGGCCAACCTTCTAATACAAACTACTGTAATAAGGCCAACCTTTTAATACAAACTACTGTAATAAGGCCTACCTTTTAATACAAACTACCGTGATACGGCCTACCTTTTAATCCAAACTACTGCGATACGGCCTACCTTTTAATCCAAACTAACGTGATACGGCCTACATTTTAATCCAAACTACTGTGATACAGCCTACCTTTTAATCCAAACTACTGTGATACGGCCTACCTTTTAATCCAAACTATTGTGATACGACCTACCTTATAATCCCAGATAATGTGGTAAGGCCTACCTTCTAATCCAAGCTACCTAAGCTCTTAATGTATACACATACACAAATATATATATATTGTTACAACAGTGGTAGTCACGTGACACTGGTAGCAAGTCATGAGTGTCTAGAAGGATCATGAAGGCCCGAGTGTTTTCTAGGCACCCTCTATTTTATTATATAAGCCTGGCAAATAAAGTGGAGAGAAGTGACAGCATAGAAGATTGCAGATAGACAGATATCGATACAGATAATTGAGTCAAGTGAGTGGTAGTGACCGTAACTAAAGTGCGTGAATCATTGTGAATTATAGCGTGTGTTTAAGTGAAAGTGACTGTAGAAATTCCATGTATTGCAAAGTTATATTGAGAAAGAATAAACTAGTTTTATTTAAAAAGAATATATACCTGAAATTAACAAACGAACAGACCTAATAATATATATCATTAGTTATTAGGATTTAACAATACAGCATGAAGAATACCCCACCCCACACACAACAAACTGATAAAGAAATCCCAGCTTACATTAATGCTCACAGTAACTAAAAAGATGTTTAATATATATATATATATATATATACACACATAAAATAGTTTAAAAGTTTTTGTAATTTTTATGTTATATATGTTCTTATTCACTTAAATAATGATCCTTTATTCTTCAAGCGAAGTGAAGAGAAACAACAGTTTCTGAGCACCTCAGATTATAAATCAAAATTACTGCCAAGATACTGATTGCATTGCAAAAAGAGCTGGGTTCCTACTGTACATAAGAGAAATGTAATAATATTGTTTCATTAATTTAAATATGCTTGTTACCATGTGTGTAACTGAAGATTAAATGGATATGTATATTTGTTAATAAAATTTTAGTTTGAAGTTTTTAGGTATATATTTTTAAATGGTTATGTGTATATGTTATCTGTGCTTATAGTTTTGTTTGATATCTGTAGGTACATATTTTTTAATTCTTATGTGTATATGTTATCTGTGCTTATAGTTTTGTTTGAGATCTGTAGGTACACATTTTTAAATGTTTGTGTGTATTTACTAATGTTCTGCAGTTTAAAAATTTTCACAAACTTGTGTGACTCCCTAGAAGTCTACCCAGTTTTTCTAGCAATTGAACAAATGCTGTAAAAAAATACACTTGCCAATGGACAAAGTATAATGGTACAACTTGTTCTCCAAAGTTTCAGGTGATATGAACCAATGGACAAAGTATAAGGGTACAACTTGTTCTCCCAGATTTCAGGTGATATGAACCAATGGACAAAGTATAAGGGTACAACTTGTTCTCCCAGATTTCAGGTGATATGAACCAATGGACAAAGTATAAGGGTACAATTTGTTCTCCCAGATTTCAGGTGATATGA